CCGGGGCCCCATGGCGCTGCCCGGAGCCCCAGCGCCGCTCGCCCGCAGCCCCGGCGCCCCGCAGCCCGGCCCTGCACCCGCACTCGCACCCGCACACACTCACGCTCTCCTCCGCCCCCCCGCCTGCCCGCCCGCTCCCCCTCTCCGCGCCGCGCACACGCGTACACGGGGCGGCTTCGCCAACCTTTAAAGTAAATAAATAAATAAAGGAAATAAGCTTATACTTAAAAAAAAAAAAAAAAAAAAAGAGGGTTTTGGCGCCATATTAATGACGTACTTAAAATTTGCCATTTCTCCTGCGTCAAAAAGACGGCTCTTGCCCATCGCGGGGCGGGCGGGGGCCGCGGTGCGGAGCTGCTCCCGCCCTCCCGCACCCGCGCAGCGAAGTTCCGCGGCCGCGGGGCGTGGGAACCGCGGGGGGGCGGGGGGGGACGCGGAGCCTCCGCGCCGGCAGCGCGGCCGCTCGAGGGGCGCGGAACGGCGGGGCTGGGGATGCGACCGCCACAGAAGAGCCCCCCCGGCCCGTGCGTGCGTGTGCATGCGTGTGCTCCCCCAAAAAAACTTCGCAGAGTTTCCGCGGAGAGGCGCGGAGCGGCGCGGCTGCCGCGCGGGGTGACCCCGCTGTGTGCACTCCCCAAACGAGTGCTTTGGGCTCTGGGTGGTTCAGGGCTGCCTGTTGCCAGCTGTTTTCCACAGGATTAAAAACAACGACAGCAGTGCTTTCGGGATGGAAACGGCTTCTTAAATTAAAATAATAATAATAATAATTGGATGTACAGCATACATCTACCCCAACTCCCAGGGGCCCTACAGAAGTTGGCTTGCACTGTCTTAAACCATTGCTGCAGAAGATTAAAATTCGAGGTAAAGACTGTCTTTCAGTGACAATCTGCCATCATCTATTTCGATTCATTAAGCTGGTCAGCCCTAAAACTGTGAATTACCAATTATGAACCATTAGGAAGCAGAGCTACGATAGCCAGATGCTCCCCAACTTACATCCCTGTTGTGATTTCTTATAAATTACCAAACTTGAATGAATTAGGCTGTAACTTTCTGCCTTGGCAGCCTGTGTTGAATGTTTTCCAAACATTCCAAGTCCTGTGGTACTTCCAAGGATGACAGCAGAGTAGGAGAAGAGCATCACTTTGGTCATTCTTGGGCTTGCTGTGGTTCTTAGGACTAACACCAAAAGCAGGGTGCTGAAATTGGGCATGAAGCAGCCTTTTATAGTCTTTTTAGATAGATCCACCCAAATGAGTGATGTTACTGGGTTTTGAAGAGCAGTTCACCACACAGCAATAAACATGCCCAGCTCTGGCAGCTGAAATCTCTCAAAATGCTGCTCTTGGGGCACCTGCTGCTTCAGGTGCTCAGAGCCCTCTCAGCAGCCCCCCAGGGAGCAGGAAACAGCAGCTACTGACTAAAAAGCATTTCCTGGGATTACAAGAGCAATGGGATTCATGAGCACAGCCCCTGTCTTTAAGACAGGACTTCACCTACAGATCCCACCTCATGTGCAGCACAGTCTGCCTTAAGGGATCTTGTGAAGGTCACTGTGTTACCTGGTCAGGACATGGGAAGTGTCCAAAGTGAGGCATTCTGTACCAATTTCTGGAGATTTTCTTGTGCACACATACTCTAACGCAGTTCTTAGTTACACTGTCACAATCTGATTTCTCTGTGACACCTGCGCAGCACGGATCTGCTCTGTTAGTCAAAAAGGAAACAAATTTTGGCCATGTTCTCATCTTACCTGCATAACCAAAGACTGCCCAAGGAGCGATGCAAGGGCTGCAAGACACAGGCAGACAGTGACAGAAGGATAAAACTCTCCCAAAAAGCAGATTCTCTCCGTGCCCTTGCCACAGGCTACGTAACACTACAAGTCATTAACCCAAAGTTTTGGCTGCTGCTGGCTGTATTGCCCACACTGTGGTGCGTGGCTGGAAGCCTTTAGCCTGAATTGCTGACATCCATCTTTGTGCAGCTGGAAGCAGTGGGTGCTGTGCTTGCATGTATGAAGTGCTGTATCATGTTAAATGCTCTGAAAACGCAGACGTTATGCTTTTCAGATGGAGTGCCCTGAATTAGTCAAAACTGACCTTAATCCATCCATGTGTCACTCTGACCCATCTTCAGAATGAGTGTTTGGGGAGGATTAATGGAGGTGCTGAAGCACTGAGGCAGTGTAGTGGAAAGTGCCATAGAAAAAGCCATGAGGAAATTAATAATTCTGTCTTTTGAGGAACCTGCAGGTCGCTGCTCTGGTCCTGTGCAGCATGCTACAGCCTTACCACCCTCTGGGCCATTTCTCCAGGATTTCTGGAGTACACCTCTCAAGAAGCTCATGGCAGGGCATGGCAGGTCCACAGCATGCCTGGTTGCAACCTGAGTAGATTTTTACCATCCAGAACATGAGCACCTTGCTCTGTTTTGAAAACTGCATGGAGAAATATTGGAGCTGTGTTTTCTATTGCTGTGAAATCCAAAAGTGACCAGACGTGTGGGTAGTGCTCTGGATAATGTGCTCTGCCTAGGCTCATGTGCTGAGCAATGGCATTGCTGAGCCCCTCTCTGACCATCTCACTGCACACACAGTGGTGCAGAAGGAAAGGAGTATCTGGACATGCAACTGAAGTCTTGTTCTGCTTCAGCTAAAGGGTGTAGATGAAGTTGCACTGACAAGAGTTTGGACAGCTCTGCTTTTTGAGTACTCCCCTAAAGAGATTTTTGGCTACCATATATGCACACTTAAACACAGTTTGTGTACAAATGCATGAACGTGACACACACAGCACCTGATGGATGGTTCTCCAGAAAGGTCATGTATATGTTACATACAACACGCAGTTTACATAGTATGACATTTATGTAACACTTATGAAGAGCTCTGACAGGGTGTTGCAGGGTGTTGTCAGTTGGCATTTGCTAAGATAGCAAATAAATCTAATAATAAAAACAAAAAAAAAATGCGTTTTGGAAGAAACAATACTGCACAAATCCTTTAAAAGGACAGAATTGTCTGCACAACAAAGGCTTGGCTGATTGATGCTAAAATAAGCAGTTATGCAACAAGTAAGAAATACGATCTCCAGGGAAGAAACCAGCAACATTTCTCTTTCATCTTCATTCACGGGTGCTTATTTTCACAAACCTGAAAGGAAAAATATAGGCAGGCTTTCGATGGTGAGCACACAAGTAGAATTAACAGATGTTTTGAAGTGAAGGACAGAGGCTCTGTGAGTTTTCTATGAGTTCTTCAGAGTTAAATCCCATCACTTTTCGGAGTCCCCCAAAATGCTGCAGAGCTGTCACCTCAGGGCTGCTTCCCACCCTGGAGGAGCACCCTGCTGGAGTGATTAGGTGTGAATACCTGAATTTTAGAGGTGAATTGGCTCACCTTAGAGCTACAAAAGTGTTAAAGCGACTTCAGGAGAACAAGCGTATGAACAAGCGTTGAACTCTTCAACACTTTGATTGAAAAACATCTCTCAGTAAGAGTTGATGCCAATGAAAATCTCAGTGCAGACAGGAGAGAGAAGGAGGAAAGCCCAGTTGACATGTTGGCATCAGATTTGATTACCACAGCCCAGGAGAACCAGATGGATGGGACTGGTCCATGGGAGTGCGAGTAGTCCCCAAAGAGAACAAAAATCCCATGTCATTTTGAAGACCTTTAGAGCTGTTCTGTTTTCTGACATTAGCTAGGGAAGAAGCCACGAGGGGAGCTCAGCTCCCTGAGCCATTCCTGCTGCCATCCACCCAGCCCCTGTGCTGGTGTAGGGGCACGTCATGGAGCAGGAGCTGCTCCAGAGACAGAGAGCTCCTAGAGACCCCTCAGAAACACCACACAACTTGCAAACAGCACAGGAGACACACAGCTACTAATTTACTGCCTTAGATGCCCTCTTTTGAGGCCTCTGGTAGCCAAAAGTCATCAAAATAGCCTCATGGCTACTTTGATTCCTTTTGAGGACCAGGGCAGTGCACAGTCATTCCAGGAGGGCAACACAAAGATGGGAAGAATCTTGCTGCATCCATATCTCAGCTGGGGTCATCCAGTATCCCAGCTATAGTCAGGATATTTAGTTTTTATGAAATATGTGTTAATTTGGAGAGTGGTAAGCAGATGCAGCAGAAGGAAAATGGACAAGCTCTGTTGTAAATAACAATAGTAATAATTCACATCTTTGGGAATGAGCTACGACAGATCAATGGAGAGATGGCTGCTATGGTCATTATATAAACTAATCCCTTCCTAAACTAACCCCTTTGCTTTCTCATTCATTCTGCATAATTGTTTTCCTCTCTGAAGCTAAGGAAAAACACTATACTTACAGGAGAAAAAATTTGATTTGGCAGATCAGTGGATAGTGAGATTTTGTTTGCAGTCTCAATTACCTTCACTAGCTGAAAATTTGGTATCAAAATAAACTGTAAATTAAAAAAAAAGAAAGTAAATATAGCATTACAAAGGTCCATCCCTTGGCAGATAGCTCAGTAATTCTCTGTGTTCTAGCAACAGCTGCTTTAATATCTTTCAAAGAAATGGCAGCCTCACACTGTCTGAAGGGATTACCTTTAAGGAATGCATCCGTAAGTGGCTTTGTGCAAAGATGCTCACCTTCTTGTGGGCTTTGCACTGCATTTTTTTTCTGCCAAATTTCAAGATTCCTTTTTCTGTTGTTGTTGCTGTTGATTTTCCTGTTTTCTCTAAGTTTGCTGCTATTGCCGAATGCATCTAATACATCTCACATTTCATGCATCCCCCAGAGTGGAAGAGCTGGGGCTTTTAGAGGGCTCTTAAGGGTAGACTGGGGGAAATGAGGTCCATCAGTAGTCAGGTGAACAGCTTCAGTGCCCTTCCTGGCTCAGGAGAGCTCCTGTAGCTCCTCCTGCTTCTCAGGGATCCTTGAGCATCTCAGCAGACACCCCTGCCAATCCCTCCCTGGCTTCCTTTCCTGTGCTGCCTTTTTGCTGGCTTTTCACACTTTCCACACGTGATGTGGCGAGGGGGTAACACAACTCCTTGGACCACACAGGGCTTCACATGGAGACATTTGACTGCTACAGGCAAAACTCCGTGGTTCTGGGTGATGGATGGTGAAAATAGAAGTAGATTTAGAATAATTCATTTGGAAGGGACCTACAGGGAACATGGATTTCAGCTGCCTCAGTCGCTCTGCTCTCCCTTGTGAAAGGCTATCCCGCAGGCAGGACACGCCATTCCAGCCCTTGTCCTGTCCAGTCCCACCCCACAAGACAGGAAAGACCAACTGAGGTGTAAATGGTGTCGTGCTTTTCTCCCTGAGCAGGCCAGCAGAGCTTTCCTCCTCCTGCAGGTGTCCTGGCTTGGGAGGGAGGTTCACATCCAGTGCCAGAGAGTGTCTTCGTACCTGCAGATCCCAGCAGAGAACATGCAATTACTCTCCCAATTCAGAAAAAAGGAGACATTAATGATCCCAGTCACAACTCAATGCACCATTTGAGTGGATGGTACATATGCTAAACAATACATGCATCAGGACTGCATTAATCCACACTTTATATGGATTCCCTCTAGACATTCACTTTATAACCAAGTTGGCTATTTCCCTGTATTTCTCTGGAGTTGGAGGGTGTGAAAAAGACATTTCCATTTCATTGACTAAGTTCCCAAGGGGAGAGTTTATGAAAGTGCAAGTGCATAATTTACTGCCTGACAGGATGAAGATGGTATCTGGTTTTAAAAAAATAGTGCACCCTGAAAAACAAAATTGCTAGAACAGACATTTGTTTTCCTTAAGTACCATATTTTAGAAGCATTTAATTTAGCTTAGAAGCACCGTTAAAAATATATGCATTGTAAATTGCAGCTGTATAACACGATATTTATCAGATAATGTCACTGAATAGTCTCCTGTTGCAATATAAATGCCATGGCATTTACAGAAAATAAATGTTGAAGTAGTGAGCATTCTTTTCAAAGTGGAAAACCATTATCTCATCCAAAAGTCATAAATACAATTACGAAGGTTTGCTTACAGGGTTGGTTTTAACTGTAGTGGGGCTGACATGGACGCTCCATCAGTGTTCCCTTGCAGCAAACCCAGCCTGGATTGGGAAGCACATGGAATGGGAAACAACATCTCAGAAAGACCTGAGAGTAGCCAGAAGGACAAGTCAGCTGCTAATGCATTTAAGGAGAAGAGATAAAGATGGAAAGTCAGGGATTTCTTGATCTTGACATGATATTTATAATGAGATTCCTGCAGCACTCTCCTGGCTTCATGAATTTCTCTTTCTGTGGTTCTGCTCCTTTAACCACTTTTTGAATGGTTCACATGGTGTATTGGTTGCTTCTTTCTCTCTCTGTTTTCTCTCTCTCTGCATTTTTCTTTGGACAAACCAAATCCACTGATCCTCTTCCATGATCATACTCATAGCAAATTACTGATTATCTGCCTTTCCATGCTCACTTCTTTCTCACACACTTTGGTCTGCCCTGTAACATCACACAGTCAGAGCTGAGGCTGGATGTGCTGAGCCAAATCCCTCTTCTCACCAAATTCATCCATCCATCCATCCATCCATCCATCCCATCTCCCAGTCAGAGGAGCAATGCACACCTGCACAGCTCAGTGTCAAAGGCATTTTATATGATGAATGATATATGTCTAAAATAACTTTTACATCTTAGAAAGGAATGGATGGATGGATGGATGGATGGATGGATGGATGGACGGACGGACAGCTGATTCACTGGCACATCAGCCATGGAGGGGAAGCAGAACACATCAGCAGAACACACCACACAACTGCAGTCAGGTTTCTGGGCCACATTCAGGAGAAGATAAGTCAGTCTTGGTAGATCCTTGGAGAGGAGGTCCCCCACTGAGCATTTCCTATCTGTGAACACTGAGGACCTCTGGGCTATGCACCATATTAATTAAATATCACAGCAAGGAGAGCATGGAGACATGTTGGATCACCAATGCTGTCATCTCCTGGGACAGGATTATAGCTCTTCTGCAGAGGATGCTACTGATTTGAATTTACCTTTTCCCTTTGAAAGTAGCCATCTTCACTACCCCTCCAGGCTGCTGAGCAGCCCCACGTCTGTCTGAGCTCCATGGATGAGCTTTGGTGACCTCCACAGATGACAGGCAACCATTGAGGCACCAATTCCTGCATGCCAGGACTTTAACACATTGTATATGCAATGCATCCCCCCTTTATAGTGGCTGTAATCTTCAAATCAGTCCTACCTGGCAGTGGAAGTTTAACATTAATGACTTTCTTATTATGGATGGAAAAACCTTTCAGAGCTAATGAGCAGAAACAAGATCGCTTGGCTCCTGGCTCGGGAGGTGACTCCACGGTCACGACCAACACTCGGAGCAGAGCTCTACAGTGCTTGCTTTAGCACAGCCCCAGGAGTTTGTCTGGCAGGTTACTCTGCCTCTGCCTTTGGAGCTGAGTTCAGAAAACACTTTAAAGATCTCAGCTCCTTAAAATAAAGGTATCAGGGAAAAGTTCTTCCCCCAGGGAGGGGTCGAGAGTAGGAACAGGCTCCCCAGGGAATGGTAACAGCACCAAGCCTGACAGAGCTGACAGTGTCCAGATTCCCTTAGGACGACACCCTCAGGCACATGGTGGGATTTCTGGGATTGTCCTGGGCAGGGCCAGGAGCTGGACTCATGATCTGGAATCATGATCTGAGTGCCATCAGCAGGGAGGAGGCAGCCCCCCATCACCCTTCCCTGCAACAGGAGCTGGGACTGTGGTCCCAGGTGAAGCCTTGCTCTCCCCAGCCAGGGACAGCTGCTGAGGTGTGAAATGGGGGGGTTTCAGTTTAATTTTATCTTGACAGCCAGGAGAAATCAGGACCCGGCCAGTTACACATTTAATTTCCAAGCTGGTCCCGCAGGGCAGGAGGAGCGGGTGAGCCAGCCAGGGTGAGCTCCTGCCCCAAGCGTGCCAGGCATCCCACTGTGCCCTGGGGTGCTGGCATCTGCCCTGGCATACCTCAGGGAGCAGCAGCCGCAAGCCTGGCTGCTGGAGGAAAAATAAACAGCTACAGTGAGTCACAAAGGCAGGCGGCATATGACGGGGACAGGTACTTATGCAAATAAACTGTTAACACCCAGCCAGACAGAGCTGATAAGCCTCCTAGGCCAGCTGGAGGCTTCTTCATCCCGCTGGGGGGAGGAGGAGGAAAACAGCTCTAGGACAACAATAGGAAACCGAAAAGCAAGAGCAGGGCAGCTCTGGAAAGGTTGCACAGGGATGCCTGGATTGGGCACCAGTCTGCTGCACCCTGCCATGCCAGCGTGTCCCTGGGCTGCTCTGCTTCCAGAAGCATCCTGCCGTGCCAGCGTGGGTTGGTGTGTGCCGTGGTGCCCATCACAGATCTCCGGGGGTGCTGGGCGCCTGCCAGGAGCGTTTCCCCACACGCCCACGGCAGCAGGGATCTGCATCCTGCAGCAAAGTTTGAGATTCGTCAGGCTGTGGCACGGGGGCTGCACGGGGAGCTGCCTTCCCCCCTTTGGAATATCCCTGTAATTTTTCCCCTGCCCTCTCAGCTCACCAACGCCCTGAGAAGCATGAATGAGAGGCAAATTATCCTTCTGTGACACCGCCGGGGATCCCCCAGAATCCCCATATCTGGCCTGGCTGGGCTGCTGATAATCAGATCGAGGGGTTTAAAATAATCAAGCCTAAGCAGCTGAAAACCAAACTGGAATAGGTAATGGGGTCAGAAAACAAACACTGCAGGGCACAGCCGGGGGCTCTGCAGGGCACCAGGCACTCGGGGTGGGCTGGGAGCTGTGGTGCTTCCTCAGGATGCTGCCCAAAAACCCAGAGTCTCCCAAGCCCTGCGCTTTTCTGGTAGTGGGAAAGCTGTGCAAAAGACCCCAAATATTTCACAGGGAGTCCTGAGAGCCAGGTGGAGCCTTCTCCCCCTGCTGCCACCACCAAAAGCCTGAGTCAAAGAAGAAAGGATTTTGCTGCCCCAGAGCTCTGTCAGTCCCAGCCCAGCAGTGCCAGCAGCTCAGAAGATGCAGAACACCTCCCTGTTCCTGTAGCATCATCACCCACTCCTCGTTCACTGCTCCCCATCCCTGCTGGCTCTGCCAGCACCTCCACCTGCCTTGCCTGTGGGCAGGGAGAGGGACAGGAGCACCAAGGAATGGGGGAATTATTAAGTTTAGGGAATTTGTTTTGCCCGCTGCTCAGATTTCCAGCTCGTTTTAATGACGTAATGCTCCAGTGGTGAGAAGCCAAAGTTTGCCCTTCCTGTGGTATTCCCTTAGGAAAAGCATATTACTGCAATGTAAAACTGAAAATTGAAACAGGCTGGTGCTTCACCAGAGAAAATGCCTCTCCCTTTTCCCTATTCAGTGAGGCGGGGATGAATGTTGTGAGGTTTGAAAGAAAAACTGAAAAAGCCTTTAATTAATCCCTGGAGGCTAAACCCTGCCAGATATGGACAGGATTTCTCCTCTGCCTCCTTTTCGGAGCAAGAACATGAAGCTGCCTTCCTGCTGCAGCTCTTTCCGGGGGATTCTCAGGTCCCAGAGGAGGATCCAGAGCATTTTACAGAGCTTTTTTTATGGAGGGAATGGCTGCCAGGGAAGCCTCATTGCTGTCCCAGGACAGTGAGGAGACACGGAGCCCCTGCTCAGACTTTTGGAAGCTTTTACCTGCTGGGAGGAAACTTTTCAAGTTCAAGGTCAGGTCTGTTTGTCTTCCCTCCTGACAGACGTAAACTGTTATGCAATATTCAGGAAGTCACTTTTATCAGACTCAATTCAATTTCTAAGATTAAGAGCATGGAAAAACAAATACTAGTGCTGGATGGAAAGTGCTGGCACTAACCAGTCCAGCACTGTTTGGACAGGGATTGCTAACAGGGTATCTCTTATTTCCACAAGTCGGTAGGAGCAGGTCACAAAATGTGCTGCTTTTTTGGGGGCTGATGAGGAGGAAAATTAACCCTTGCTTAAAGGGCAGAAACCATAGCAAAATTTTTTTGGAGAGCAACTTCTGTGCTTGCTACTGCAGCATCTGGGAGCATCCCAGGATGTAAATTCAGGGCTCAGGCCCTGGCAGAGGGCAGAGGACTGCACTGTTATCAGTGCCTGTGCTGGACACCTTTGCCCTGCTGCCTGGCAGGGGTGTGGCTGCAGGGCAGGTAAAAGCTTTGCTCACAAGAAACCTGACTTACAAGGGAACAGACAAAATACAGAGCATGTGCAGTTTTCACAGGGATCATCACTTGGCACAGCACCACGGCCCCATTCAGAAAATACCCTGGGAGAAGGCTCTGGAGAAAAGAAATCTCAGCTTGCAGAGGAAAAACTGTCCTAAGCAAGACCCAGGCTGGTCCTATGACCCACAAGTCCTGAAGTCC